GAAGTTATTTTTTGCTTCTGTTATTGTTGTTGGCTTCTTCTTGTTGATTTTCTTCCACGTTAACAGTGGAGGAATGTTGTTAATCACAGAAAAAAAAAATTTTTTTTGTGAATTTAACATATCTGCTACGAGAATGTTAGAACTTTGTAATGTTGTTTGCTCTTTTTTTTTCACCATTCTTACTCTGTCGTGCAATGATCGTTTGATGGAAATTTGGTTTTTTCTGGAACTAATCCTTAACTGTTTATGTCGTTATCGAGGATCATAATGATGCTGATAGTGGTGGTGATGATGGTGATAGCGGTAGTGTTGTATTTTTTTCTTGAAACTTTGTAACTGTTGGATGAATTCATATGAGAAAAATTTTCACAATAGTACGAATTAAATACAGTACGAATCAAACTTGTCAACGTTGTTCGCTACAGCCCGTATATGAGTTTGACGGTTTATCGGTGTTATTGTCAAAAAAAAATATGGTCAACCTTACTTTTTTTTTACGTGAAAATTTATATTGTTTTAAGGTATATTTTAGATGATTTTATTTTCTTTATCACCATTTCTAATCCTATGCATATTTCTGCTACAACTGCTAATATCACCAGTTCAATGTGTTCTGGATGTTACCTGGTGGTACGTTTTTTTTTTATTTCTTCGATGATCCATTTTTGGACACAAATCTTTATTTTTTTTTCTTTATTTCTACTGAAATAATTAAGAAAAAGGACTGTAAATTGATATTATAATGTTCAGTAAGCTTCTTGTTTATTGTTTCTATGCAGATGCAATTTCTTCTTCTTCTTCTTTCTTCTCCTTGTAAACAATGACTCGAAAACAACGAATAAAATTATTTTTATTGCCCCTAATTAAAAATTTTATTAGCTCACCTAAACATTTGGTAAAAAGAATAAAAACTGCGCGTATACAAACAGTGATACACAGCAAAAGTTGCGGAAAATGCGGGAAGAGGAGAGGAGGGGACCGAGGGATGATGGAAAAAAATTTGGATGGATTGGAGGGCGGAGGGGATAACCGCTTCATTAACTGGATGTTCTTTGGTCTTCGGAATAGTATATTTCTATACTTATATTGTAAAATTTTTTGCAAGGGATTTGGTGCCAAATTGTTCGTTCGTGATGAAAAAAAAAAAAAGGAAATAAAAAAGAAATAACGGTAGATGGGACGACGAAAAAAGAAGATGAATTTAATTGTAACTTTTTATTTGTTTTTTTTGCTTCTTTTTTTATTGTTTTATGTATATCTGTGCGTTTCACAGGACAAATGTTTTTGGTACAGTGAAATAATAAAAACCCAAATTTTGTGTTAAAAAAAAAAAAAAACGAAAAAAGTGTCTTTTTTTTATTCTGAAAAAAATTTTTTCAAAAAGAACAAGACAAAACAAAAACGAAACAGGTTGATTAGTCAAAAGCTGTAGGAAGTTTAGGGAACATGTAAAAAAGAAGAAAATGAAAACAATTTTTTTTTTTTTTTTTGGACGTGTGTGTCTGTGTGTCTGTGTGATAACAACAAATATGCTGTTTTTAAGGTCATCTGTAGCGCAATTAAGTACGGCGATGACTGGAGCGTTTAACAAGAAAACATGTTGGGAATTGAAAGGATTATCCCCGGGACAGTCAAATATTTGTGAACTGTTTGATGACCATATGCCAGCAATTGGAGCCGGTGCAAAGGCAGCTATTGCGGTAATGCTTTTTCTGATCATCACCTTATTCACTAGTCGAGAGAGAATATGCACATCAAGGACACACACATGCAAACACGCATAAACACACACACACACACATTCACCGACATATACACGCACGTACGCACAGACACGCACCTGGTTGAGTGGAGGTTAACTAATAGTGAAAAAGTGCGGCAGGATACGAGAAGGTCAAGAAGTATCCGATACTGTGAAGGAAAGAGCAGCGAGGAAAGGGGGACGGTAACGGAAAACCCTTTACGTCTGCAAAACGGGATCTGATTGGTACATATGGAGCAACAAAATAGACATATGTACCGAAATAGATTATCGGTGTTAAGAACGAATCCTGGTGGTTCGTTAAATAAGTAAATGGTGAACGAGCGAACAAAACGTATAAGAATTTTAGCAGAAATTTTGCTACTGTTCTTCCAGGTCTCTGTCGTTTTATTTTTCATCATCGTCATTACCAATCATTAAAAACGTCATCATCGTCGTCGTTAACCAATCTTAACTAACAGCATTGCTGTGGATTTAGTTAATTTTATCTGTTAGCTGCTCAATTTTAAGTTTCTTTCCATTCATCATCATACATAATAGTTGGTGAAGAATAGGAAAGCAGTAACAATAACAACAACAACAACGACAACAAGAAAAAAAGAAAGAAAATTTGAGAAATTAGTAATGATATTGTTATTCTAAAATATTCTTGTGAAATAAATTGCGAAGTTTACAGCAGAACAAAAAAAACGATTTTTTTTGTGACTGACAGCTTTGATCTTGATAAATGAGTATTTATCTATGTTATTCCTTACGTAATCGTTAAGACAGAAAAATAGGCTAAGGAGGAGAAAAATATAAATTGAAGGCGAAGAAGGAGGGCAAGAAGTAGAAAAATTGACCGATGAAATATCTTTTACTCAAAACATGAAAGCATTTCCCTTTTTTATGCAATCAAGAAAAAAAGGAAATTTTTTCTCTCTCTCAGTAAGGTATCTAGCATTTCGATGTTCACTATCTATTCAGTAGCTTTATAACTGGTTATAATTCACTGGAAAATCAGGCAAAAAAAA